GTTGCGAAAACAACTTTTTTGCAACGTTTAATAAACGCTGCAAAAAGTTGACCATTTTGCAGCGTTTAATAAACGTTGCAAAAAGTTGATCTTTTACCAACGTCCAATAAACGCTGCGAAAGGTACTTTTTTGCAACATTTATTTAAAAAATGTTGCTAAAACTCAATTATACTAATCAATTGCAACATTCACTTATCAAAATGTTGCGATAGACTCATTTAGCAACACTTAACTATCGAATGTTGCTTTTTATGTGTTGCGAAAGCTCATTTGTGGCGTAGTGTTTGAAGTTGGAAAAAGACAAAATTTGCGATGTATGTCAATTTGGTAAATAAATAAAAAGTTCATTCAAACTCAAATTACAATATTTTAAGCGATCTTAGTAGGCCATGTGGGATGTCCACCCTATCACATAAAGATACGTGTACAATTTTAAGCAAATTTTGATAACTGTATATTTTTAAATTAAAAAATATATTAGACCTATATCTCTTTTTCTCTTTCTAATGTCGACTATGTCTCTATTTTATCAGAGCCTTTGACTCTTTGAAATAGGTTGGTAAATTACATTTGTTTACCTACTTTTTTCTGTTTTTAAGTATTCTTCCTTTTTTATTTTATTTTTTGAAAAGGGGCTAGAAACTCCTTTTTAAAGTGGAGACGTAGAGAAATTGTCTTGAATACAATTTCAAGCCAAATTAACATATATATGGTGAGAAATCTTGACAAATAACAAAATAGCAATAACACCTTTGATATGCAGTAATGTCAAAGCAAAAACAATTTCATTAAAGAAGATGATATATATTGTCCAAAAATATCATAGTACCTTAGTTTATATGTTGAAATGTAGCAAAATAATTACACCATAGGTCCCTTTTTATTTTCTACAATAATTTCAGCTACAAAATATCATACTTCAATCACATGAAAAATGTAAACAAACTGATAAATATAATTTACAAAACCAAATTCATAGGTACAGAACTTAAAACTTCATCAAGTGGAGTTTATTTAATAAAGCTCATACGAGTGTTATATCAAAACTTCCACTGTGCAGTCATTAATCTTTTCTATTAATATTTTCTCTATTGATCATCAAAAGTATAATAACGTGGATCCTACTTAAAAATAATTCACTGACTAATAATAATAATTGTTAGGTTTAAAATATTGTATTGGGGATTTTGTGAATACAATGATCAACCTGGACAATTATAAAAGTTCAGAGACTCAATTGCAAAGTTTAATAGTTGGTAGGTTAGCATAGGATTCAGGGTTTCATGTTTGGAACAAGAAGGATTCATGCCAATTTTTTGCTAGCTGCTCGCCAGAGTTGTGTTCGAGCAGATGATGCAACAACACCATCGTTCGACCTTCGTCCCACCGTAGCTCGAGCGACGGTCCCTTCGCTCGAGCAAAAAAGCTCCTCGCTCGAGCGACATTATTTTCTGGGCAAACCTAATTTTCACTTTCCGAGACTTTTACTTGGTCTGTACTATCTAAACTGTCCAACTTACAAATAAAGGCGCGGCCTATTCTTCAAAGGTCAGATTGAACACATACTTTCTTGAGAGAACACATCCTACA